TGCAACTCAAAGTGTTGCAACTTAAGTTGCAACTAGTTAAAAATTTTAAAAATAATTATGGGAACCATCTTTAGTTAATACTGATAGTTTATCAATGATTTTGTCTTACAATAGAATAATATTTGTTTTTATCCATCCCTTTTATTCAAAACTCCTTTCTATATATACTAGTGTTTTATATTCAAACTACTTAAGCAAAAACAAATTATATTATTCTTGATCAAAGTTAAAGCACATTCTGGTAATTTTAATAATGAAAAGTTGACAATTTAGCTAAATCTGCTCTTCACAATCCTCCTATTTCTCTTTCCTTTTCTCATATTTCTTTCCTTTCCTTCATTCTGACCTTCTAATTAAATCCTATTATCAAAGAAATACGACCCTTTTTTAAAGACTACATTAACTTCAAATCTTTCACTGATTTTTACAACTTCCAAAGAAACAATCTATACAAAAGTAAACCAGTAAATGGTTTTGCACTTTTAATCTTATTAATTACAATACTAATAGCTCAACTTCTCACAAAAAATCTTTCTATCACAAATAAAAATACCAACTCCTCCTTAAACAACTACTTACTCTAGAATTTCTCAAACTTATTTTTCCTAATGTATATGACTCAACCTGGAAGTGTTGTCGCTGTAATTCATTAGACAAAACCTTTGATCACCTCTGGACCTACATTAAATCTTGTTCTATCATAAATATTATAATTAAAAAGGATATTCAAACTCTCAAAGATCAACTTTATATTTATACCTCTTGCCAATAATGGATAGCTGATCTACAATATTTATTTGATACTTCACATCCTTATTGGAATTTGTCCTCCTCCTCTTCTTTCTCTTTCACCTTTATCAATCTTATCAGAGGCATAGTTCCTTCTAACTTTTATCACTTCATTAATGATTTCATCAAATGTCAAAAAAAATCCTTAGCTATTTTGTCTTCTTTCTTTAATCTTATTATTGATCAGGCTATTCTTTTAATTTGGAAACCCAGATGTGCTTTAATTATTGCCAAAGAACTTACCCAAAATATAACAAACAAGAAAAAACGTTATAAATCAAAATACAATTCTAATACCCTTTTACATGTGATACCTTATACCGATAATAATATGAACCATCTAACTCTTTTTTTCTCTAACTCATTTATCAATGACTGATCCTGACCCTTTTTAATACAGTGAAAACTAGTTGTCTCAAATGATATTTCCTTTGTCATATACTAATTTTTCTTCTCTAAATAGTTGAAATTGAACGTGATAAGACAACCGGTTGGTTTAGTTGGAGTTGGTTTTTTCCTTCGAGGAAGGCTAAGCAACTTTACTTTATTTTTTTTCTACTTATGTACATGTTTTGTTACTTTGTACTTTGAATCTGAAATTTTAATAAATATTAGCTTCACCGCATCTTAAAAAAAAAAGAAATCAATTATTAATTTTAAATTATTATTATATTATATTATCCACAATTTTATTTTCTTTTTAACGAATATTTAAACATAGCAATTGAATAAAAATTGAGTAACTTTTATTAGAGACAAAAGTGTCTTCAAATTTTATGAAATGCACACAAAAAATACTTATTTTTACCACTACATCTTAACCTTACGAACCTCGCTTTATTATATAGTTTTTCATTTGTTTTACATATACGTTCTTTTTGTTTTGATTTTCAAAAATGGGTTAAACATGTGATTGCATACAAATAATATGTATATTCATGATCGTAATCACGATCACGATCACATAACATATAAATATATAAATATTATTATTTTTTCTTTTATTTAGCAATATTAATTTTTACAAACCTTTTATACTGAATATATATTTATTATGAAAAAATGATTTTATAGTATTTTTTATACTAAAAAAATATTTATTTGTAAAATTTACACAATATTATAAATCATATGATATTACATATTATTATAAATAGATTTTATATCGTTATATGTGAATATCATTATATTGTGATACTAAAAGTATATGTGATATCTGTAATATTTATCGTAATACAAAATAAAGAGATTTATTAATTAAAATCAATATATAAAACTAATTTAATTATAACTGTTTTGGACAAGATATTTTTTATTGTTATAAGACATTATCATTATATATAGTATTATTATATCTAACTTTAACTGTATTATGTCGTAATTTTATGAAAATACAAATTACGTAATCTTATGATAGCTTATAAGTTTTCATAATATTATAGAATGTAAGTTTAAGCAATATTATGTCTTATTAAATTTACTGATATTAGAACATTATTTCTATTAAATGATTTGCATTGTCTTTAAAGATGATGATTTAATCATTTTAATTGGATGACTTTTTATCATCAATTAAAATGATAATGTTGATTTAAATAATAGTGTATCTATTATCCTAAAGGGACAATAATTTGATCATTCCAATCAGATGATTTTGCATCATTTGATTAAAATAATGTTAAATCGTTCAAATCAAACGATAATTATTTTAAAATGAACAATTTTTTATCATTCTAAAAGGAAAGATAATATATTATCTAAAGGAATGATTTTTAATTATTCAATAAGAATAATTGATATATTGTTCCTTTAGGATAATTTTTTAATTGTTCTTATTAAACAATGATGTATCATACTAAAAGAATGAATTTTTTGATTATTCTTATTAAATAATGATTTATCATTTCTTTGAAATGATATTTTTTATTAAATGATGATTTATCATTTCAAAATAACCATTTTTTTGATTGTTCTTACTAAACAATAATTTATTATCCCTTTGGAATAATTTTTTAAATTGTTCAATAAAAATGATAATCTATTATTCTAAAGGGATAATTTTTAGTTATTTTTAATAAATAATAAATATTGTTCCTTTAAGACAATTTTTTGATTGTTTAATAAGAATGATGATTTATCATTCCTTTGAAATGATTTTTTTGATTGTTCTTATTAAATGATCCCTTTATTAGAATGATTTTTCAAATGATTCAATAAGAATGATAATCTATCATCTCAAATGAGTCATTCTTAATAAATGATAATGTATCATTGCTTTGAAATGATCTTTCAAATCGTATAATAAGAATAATAGTCTATCATCTCAAAGAAATGATTTTTTAATTATTCAATAAGAATGATAATATATCATCCTAAAGTGACGATATTCAAATTATTCAATAATAATAGTTTATTATCCCAAAGGAATGATTTTTTAGTTATTCTTAATGAACTATGATGTATAGTCTCTTTGGAATAATCTTTCAAATCATTTAATAAGAACAATGATTTATCATCCTAAAGAAATGATTTTTAATCGTTCAATAAGAATGATAGTCTATTATTATCTCAAAAAGACGATTTTTATTTTTTCAATTAAAATGATATTGAATCATCTTTTTAAAATGACAATTGTATCATTCTATTTGAAATGATTGTTTACTATTATATCTTTAAGATGATTTTTTCAAACAGATAATTTTTTGCATATTCTATTGAACTAATCAGAGTTGATTTTTGGCTCAACTCTAATTGGCCATAAATCAATCATAAATACAATAACCAATTTTTAGCAATTTTTGAATTTAGTCTAAATTTTTAATGAATGGCAAATAGCAATTTTTTTGATTTTGACTAATGTAAATCCAATTTTTATTTCTATTACATTTTTTTAAATTATTTTTAATTAAAATTGTGAAATTTTATAAATTATTTTATTAAAATTTAAGTTATATAACTTTTTTTAAAATTATTATATAGATTTTACATAATTTCAAAAAAAATTGTATTATGTAATAATTATATTGATTTAGAATTATTATTTAAGTCTTTTTTAAACTATATATAATAAATAAAAATAGTTATTAATTTTAAATTTTCAAAACCATTAACTTATTCATAATAATTAAAAACTATATTAAATATATTTTTATAATACTTTTTAAATATTAATAAAATATATAAAATAATATAAAATTTTTTTTAATAAGCTTTAAATTTATAAATTTAATTTGTAAGTAAATTATTGTTATATTTAAATTAAATTATAACTCTAATAAAAATTAATTAAAAATTTATGTCAAATTTTATTAATTCATTTAAATATCTATTATGTCAAGTTAATTTATTATTATTTAATAGTAATAATAATTTTAAATAATCATAACTTTTTTTTTATTATTAATTTTATATAATAAAATAATTTAATAATAGATACTTAATATATTAGTTTTTTATATTTTTAATAAAGTAAATATAAGGTTAATATTTTGTAAATAATATAATTTAATAATATAATATTATTTATTAAAAATTTGTAAAAAATATAATGATATAATATTATAATTAAAATTGTATTATGTATGTTGTGATTTTATAATAAATAAACCAATAATCCGCAATTTAATGTCATTCATAAGTCATTGATTTTTTTTGTCAGTCATTTTTTTACAAATAACGTTGAGTAAATCTTGAAAACATTTATTTCACATACCGTGCGGTTATCTCCTCTATTTTTCACTTTACTTTAAATCACCTCAGTTCCAAGTTCACTCTAAGTACTCTTTTTCATCATGTCGTCGTCGTCCACAGGTTTAGACATGTCTCTTGATGAAATTATTGCGAAAAAAAGACCATCAAGAGGAGCTAGGACAGGTGGTCCTACCCGTACCGGTGGCATCGTTAAACGTTCTGGTGGTCCCGTCAGAAATCCTCGGTCTCCACAAGTTAGACCTCGACCTTACAGTAGTAGTGCTGCTACAACATCATCAAATCTTAACGCATCACCAGAAGGAAAAATTCTTGTTTCAAACCTCGCCTATAAAGTCACAGAGGCAGATCTTTGGGTAACTATTATAAAAAAATGTCCAATACTTTACAAACCGTTGACGGTTGTGCGACAGAGAGAGACAGCAGAAAAAATCAGAAAGAGGCGAATAGTTTCTTTTTTTTTGGTGCCAAAGCTGGGGTTTACCGTCAACAATAAACCTGAAGCGAAAAGGCAACCCTTGTACGAATTAATTATCGTCAACGGCCCTTCTTCGCCATCTGGCTTTGGAGCCTGGAGATTCTGAAATCTTTTCTACAACGCTCTCCAAGCCGATCAACAATGTTGCTCCTACTGAAAAACAAACCACCTGATCGCAAACAAAACACTCTCCATACACATACGCACTTCGACTTCCCTTATCCCTTCACAACACCAGGAACTTTTCTCAACGATGATCGGTCCTGTACGTCAAGTTAACCTTAACTTTGATCAAAGTGGTCGTTCGAAGGGTACCGCATCCGTTGTTTTTGCAAGGAAAAACGACGCCGTACGGTCTGTCGATAAACTCAGAAATATTACCCTTGATGGTAAGCGGGATATTATTTTTTGTTATCAATAATATATACTTTAAGGTTTAAAGTTCACGAAGCTTCAAAAACAAATTCTCCCTCTTTTTAAATTAACGATTAGATTAAGTTATCGCATAACATAAAATTTTATTTAATTAAATTAATTCTTTAATTTAATATAATTAGGCCGTGAAATGAAGATCGAAATTGTCGTTGCTCCTAATGCCGGTCCAATTACTCAGCGTATTGGTGGGATGAATGAGTAAGTCAAAAAAAAAAAAGCTTACAACTATTGGAAATTTTTTTTTTAATTCGTTTTAACGTTTGTTATTTTCTTTATTTATAAATCAAGGTCTCGTCCATCCACACGTGGTACTGGAGGAAGTCGTGGTATTTCCACAAGAGGTCGAGGTCGCGGAGCTCGAAGAGCTGATAATAGACCAAAAAAGACACAAGAAGAATTGGATGCTGAGATGAGCGAATATATGCAGATTGATGAGGTGATAAATTAAATGCTATTGTCTTTAAGCGCTTAGTAATTTTATTTGTAATATTTTTGTCATCTCGTGAAATTGTAATTTGTTTTAATTTATAAATATACAGGAAGCAAATCAAGCTGGTGATTCTGCTACGACTCAATTGACACAATGAAATATGCTGCGTAACCTCTATAGTCATCAAAGAAACCATTTGACTTCTAAATCTATCTCCCAATTTGTGCAAAAATTAAAGATCTAATCCGAAAAAAAAACAATAAATTAAGTGATTTCTTTAAATTTATCGGCTGAATTTTTTTTATTTGCGTAATTTTGGTTCGAGTTATCGAAGTTTGAAATAAGCAGTTTTATTAATTGTTTAACTTCACTTATACATTGCATTTGATTTGCAATTTTCAAAATCATAACAAAATAGATATTGTATTTTGGTAGTATACATTCACACAATCTATGTATGTATGGTACCTTTATTTTATATATATATTTACTTATGTTAGAAATATGGTCTATTACTATTATAATTTTTTAATTTTTTGTGAGTTCTTTTGGGAGAGGGTTCGTTGTATAATTTTGTTATGGATTATATAAATATTTTTGACACTATATATTTTAAAAAAAAAAAAAAAAAATCATTTTGTTCGATAGAAAACATTAATTCATAATGATAATGTAATAATTATGACTTATATATATAAAAATTATTTAAATAAACATTGTTAAAAATAGAATATTTACTTTGTTGAAAATTTTTTATTATTTAATGGTAGGAATTAAACACGAGACAGCATTTTTAATACATCATCCGTTTCGATATTTAAATTATTACTGCTCTTTTCTTGACGCCTGCGAAGAACTGCCAATAGTTTGATCAACAAGTCTTCACAATATGTTTGCGTGGCAGTATTATATGAGGATGCATTATATAGTATTGAATATAAATTATCCACCTTATATAATAAATATGTTAATGAAATATATAATTCAATTTAAAATCTATAAAATTAGATACTTACTTTAATTTCAACGGTTTGCATCATTTGTTCAAAGTAATTATTCTCTAATTGTGTCGTTTCATTATCTGAGCAGTATTGTTGTAAAAATTGTTGTTGATCTACATGCAAAACAGACATATCTACTTCATCAGGTACCAAGAAAATGTTATTGCTTCCTTGCGATACTTTTTTAACAGCCTTATCAATAGATGAATGAAAGGAATTGATCTCATTAATCAGTTTATTCCATTCCTCATTTTCAGCTTTCAATCTAAAGAAGGAAGTGATAAGAAGATATTATATTCATAGACAAAATTCAAATATTTATTATTACTACCTTTGAAATATTGGTTTTAATTCTTCGAGTTTTTTTCGATTTTCAACGTTTTGTAGATGTGGATGCTTTATTTTTACTTGTCGATCTTGATCATTCTTATGTAAATATTTTTTTTTATAAAAAAATCAATTTATATAAGATATTTCGTCTCTAAAGCATGTAAAAAAAAACTGATAGATAAACGTACATTTCGATGATACCATGATGTATTTATTTTACAATCCATCAAATCGTTCAAAATGTCAGCTTCTATAATTTTTGTTATTTGAAGTGCATTCTCATCTTTTAATCTTTGATTTTCCAAAGCCCTTTGACCACACCAACTTAAAATTTGTCTCAACTTTATCGGTCCAGGCAAGTCTTGCTGAATATGACGATAAAATTCTTTGTGACTAATATCTGGATGTGGTTTTGCTGATAATAATAATAAGTTAATAATTAAGCATAATTGGACGTCACGATTATTATCTTCAACAAACCAACAAATCCATTTCCAATTGAAGATGCTCTCTTTCCTCTCTTATCAAGGCTTGATCTTCTTTTCTGTTTTCGGATATCTGTATTCTTCCTTATCACTGGTGTTTCGGATAATGGAATAGGAACCTCTGTCTCGTTTTTTCGTGGTGGACTAGTATATTTTAATTGCGAATTCATCTGTTTTCCATAGGAGATAAAATTGATTATTGCTTAAATCTTTGTCTGACCGTTACTAAATACATATCGATATAGGCTCCTTTGATGCGATTTTTAGTAATATATAATTTTTTTCTAATGAAGCCGCTTTTTTTTTTTTACCTTCTCTTCGTGAGACTTTTATAAAACAACAATAAACCGTAAATAAAGAGCATTTGACTAAAAAAAAAAATAAAACCATAAAAAACAAATATATACTTGGCCAGACCTATTTATAATTTTACTCAATATTTTGCTATTTGAAGAACGCGTAAATGCAGAAAGAGTGAACGTCGATCATCTCCTAAAATGCTCTTACTACATTTGAAAGAATGATCAATAGAAAAGTTGAACGTAACCCTATTCTTTAAGAACAAAAACCAGCTACGTTAATATTATTTTATTTTAGAAACGATGAGAAAAGAAATAAATCTATAAATCGATATTAATATAACCTTTACCCTTTTAATAAATGTGATTACTTCATATTTACAGTAAATTAAAAAATAAGATTAAAAAGCTCATCAATAAATTTATAAAAATATATATATATACATATATATATATAAACTTTTTTTAAAAGTATAATTTAGTAAATTATATATAACAATTGGAAAAAAAAAAAAAAAAAAAAAAAAAAATGAATTTTGTACTTTATAACCTTAGGAACTTGATTCTAATATTTTCTTTGATGTTTGTTAATTCATAAAATACTAATTGGTTAAAAACGGTAAATGGATGAGGAAAAAAAAACAAAATAATACAAATATATATCAATCAAGTCGCCTAAGATTTGTTATATAATGATCTTCAAAAATATAATACTACGCAATAAAAAATAAAGCAATAGAATATCAGAGAAATTTTTTTTTTTTTTTAAAAAAAACTAGTTCAAAGGAAGAAAAACTCGATGAAACAAAAATTGATCTACTATCAAAAATGTTCAGAAAGTATAAATCACAATATATTTTAATAATAGTCCGTAAAAGACAATCAAAATGGTCTGATCCTTTGAATATAAAATTTTAAAAGAAAGGAGGTCCCATAGAATCCAATCCTGCTGAAGTAGTTGGGATAGCATCACTATTGTTGGTTTCTGGTTCACGGGGCAGTACACCAACGCCACGACAAATTGGACACTTGTTAGATCCCTCAGTGAGCCACTACAAAAAAAAAAATTTATAAATATAGAATAAAAAGAGAGAGATAGAGAGAAAATGCAAACGACTGAATGTAATAAATATAATATGCAATGAAACCAAAAATGAAAATCATAAAACTTTGAAAATTTAACGAACTGACCTTGTCAATGCATTCTCGATGGAAACCATGACGACAAATTAACACTCTAACATCCTCATTTGTAATATAATCACACAAACATACTTGACATTTCTCTGCATTACCTAAAATATCATGCCCTCTAACACCACGAATTCTTGCATCATATTTTGCAACTGGTAAGTTTGCATCAATCTCACTTTGCGTTGTAGTTGCAGGTCGAGCTGGTCCAATAAGAGATGATAATAACATCATATCCTCATAAGTTGGATTATCAGAAAATAATGATGGTGTAGTAAGAATAGGATGTGTGGAAGGATATGTGCCTCCTAAAACATAAATGATCCACGAACGTGCAGGGGGGGTTTGGGTAGCAGTTGAAGCAGTAGATCTAGCGGATGCACGACTTGAAGTTGAAGACGACCGAGTTCTTGATGATCGACTTGAATTATTTCTATGTTCTGAATTAGTGGGATTATTATCAACGTTTTGTGAAGATGATGAATTAACGTTCGAATCATCTCTTGGTTGAACACTCCTGATTCCAATAATGATAACGGGAACCATATGAGGGACATTATTTGTATTGCTTGAATTAGTTTCATTTGTCGCATTAGGTATTGATGATGTATTTGTATTATTTTCAGGTGAGATATTTTGCTGTGTCAAGGAAGAACGAGACCCACCAAAGCGAAATAAGCGAAAGAATGACATAGGTTGCGATGGTTGTGAACCAGGTGTATTGTTGTCAGCGGAGGGATTTTGTTCCTCAGATGATGATGAAGCTGCCGTTGATTGGTTAGTAGGTCTATTAGTAGCCTCGCGACGTCTTCTCTGAAGAGCAGCTAAGAAACTTTCAAAACTTCCATCATGTCCTTCGTTAGCAGCCCTTTCAGCTTCAATTACGGCATTTTCTTGACTAGCAACAAGAGATGCAGCCGTAGCAGCTGCTGCAATGGACAAAAATCGCCCTAAATGTTGGTTGTCCATATCAGTATCTTCGTTATTAATATTATTGTTATTGTTATTGTTATTGTTATTGTTATTGTTATTGTTATTGTTATTGTTATTGTTATTGTTATTGTTATT